TTTTTAGTTTTTTTGATTTTGTAGTAGTAATAGTAAAAATAGCTTTGAGTAGTCTACAATGGTTTGAGCCTCGCGCGCGGAATACAGGTATAAATGACTAATACGTGGAAATTGTGGCAAAAGCCTTAAATTAGTAAAGGATTGGCTGGAAGTCGTTTCCTTGGATATAGTCCTGGCACTGCGGAAGCTTAAACGTGTAAATCCCAGGTCACGTGTAAATGGAAGTATTGTCGAGGACTATACTTGGACTTTTGATAACTAGCTACACCTTTGAATGTTTTTGGTTGATGCCTATAGCATATTTAACAGGACATTTATATCTGTAATTGTAACCAGCTCGATTTTGTTTGCAAACCTGGTTAAAATGTTTATATTTAATTATCTTAAAGATAACTCGTCCAGCTCAAACCTTTGTAGGGGTAAGAGGTGGGACCATCATCATCATCATCATCATCATCATTCATGCACTACTAATCAATTGTATATTCAGCTTGGTGTTAATCAGCTTCGTACACCTTAAATCAACCAATAATCAACTTCTGTTCTTACAATTCAGCTTGAATTGTTACTTGGGTATCTTCAACCGCTGCAGTTTCTCGCGCTGCACCCGGTACGATTGATGGTTCACCAATCAGTCAACCGTACAACTCATTCTATCGACTGAACGATCTCAGATATTCGATTGAATGTGGAGCCTGATGGAGTCAGTGGATCCCGTATTATCGGTTAGCAGTATCTCTACGCTCTTTTGTAACTGAGTGTTTGTTCCACCGACGGCAACGGCAACACTAAGAAAGATTCTGCTAATATAATTGTAATGATAACCACACCGGAAGAAACTGATCCAATCCGAATCGCGGTATTATTGAACTTGCAGCAGTTTCAGGGAGATTAATATGCGATAACATCAAGCAACAACAAGCAGGAGGTAGTCATCAAACGGCTGCAACCAGTATCGAGATCCTGGAACGACATTTGGATGCTGTTGGAAATTATTTGATGGAAGATGTGGATAAATGCATTAAAAGTAAGAAGTTGAGAACCAGGAAAAGAAGAAGATCAACATAATTTAATTTGTTACCGTAAATGACCAATCGCAGTGCTTTCCTGGGTTTCCTGTTTATTTATTGAGGTGTTCAAATGTTCTAAATTATGGACGAAGTTCCAATTTGAAGAGGAAAAGGCCTGTTAGACGAATTTAATAACCAACCACGACTGCTGACACTAGCAGGGCATGCATCCAACCGGGAAATCTGGGAAAAAACGGGAATTCGGATTTGCCGGGGGGAAAACCGAAAAATGCGGGAAATCCCAAATCGCACGGGGAACGATCAAATATACTCATCCCTAGTAAAATTAAGGCTATAATTTGTTCTTGAAGAATCATTTAAAAGTTTAAACTTGCAATATTACTTGCATAAATCATTATAATCATTACTCGCATTAATCATAATAATCATCTGTTTACAACTTTCATATATATATATATCTATATATATATGAAACTTGTAAACAGATGATTATAATGATTTATGCAAGTAATATTGCAAGTTTAAGTTGCCATATATATAGGGCTGAAAGTCTCCTTAATAAAGATGTAAAAAAAACTTTCATATTATGTCTTCCACTGTGGTAAAGTATCAAACATCCTCAACAATAACTCTTTTACTTTTCTTTCACTCGCAATCTGTTCGCGCACGGGGCAAACGGCGATTTTTCCGTTGTTCCTAGCACGAAAGCTTACAGAGTAAATTTTAAGAATTTATTTTGGTGTCATTGGAAGAAAAGTGTTTGTATTCTTTTGCCATTTTTTCCGAGTGAAGTAGTTCCAGTATAAAGCCTCAGCGAGACATATCCTGTTACGAAGCCACTTGAAGATAGAGAAGTATTTCGGTTCGACACCGGACACAATCAACGAACTAAACAAAAATCTGTAAAACATTACATAAAACATACAGTCTGTGCTTAGTTTGTAAAACATAAACATCTGAATCCTTACTTCTCACGCCAAAGTATTGAGTTCAAATCTCACTCGGATATGGTACGAATGATCCAAGAGTGTTGAAGTGACTATAATAAAAAAATCATCGGATCTCTATAAATTTTGGAAAACCTAATAAACCAAACCAATTATATTATGTGGATTCATGAAGGTTTAATCATTTTATCATCACGTCGAATCCTATACGCCTTGTTGAGTCTGCAGAACATGATTTGGATAGTCCAACAATGTTATTTTTAAACACAATTTATCATTTTAAATTATGTTATGATGTCCGTGATGCACAAAATGCTCAAAAATTCTGAGTGGACATCGTACAATATTTCGATTAGCCTGTAAAATACCTCCAGGAAAATTTAAAGAATGATACATATTTTGGCAACATATCTTTGACTTCCACAAAATGTTATATGGCTTATAGAACTTCAAAATCTAAACTCCAGTAAGATTTGAAGGTCTTTTGATACTGCGTTTCTCCTGCTCAGGTCTCTTGTATTGATATATGCTTTTTTTTCCGTCATACCAAAACAATATTTAGGCTCTTTTTTGAAGTGAGCTTTTTTGTTTTTATAATTCTTGATTCCATGAGCTTTTCGAGATCTAGATCACTCATTTCATATTTTGATATTACATTTCGATAGACATTACGAACCCGCTAAAATAAATATTTTTCTAATTTTTCTGTAATAAAACTTTTGAAAAATGTACAAATGATAATCGAGTACCACTTGGTTGCACATCGCTCTGAAAAGATATAAAACAGCACTACTGTCGCGCTTCTGCTCATTATCGCTTCGGACGGCGTGGCGTTTGGTCCTGCAGTAAGCAGGAGCAAGTCAGTGGTTAAAGGTGACTTGGGTCCCGTTCAACTAAGGGGCTGTTCATTAACTACGGAGGCGGGGAGAGGCAAGAAAGAATCTCAAAAAATTGTCTACGCAGTTAATGAACAACCCCTTATACGAAACGCGGAAATGTTATTTATGAAAAACAAACACCCCCCGCTCCCCTATAACGACAAACTGAAAAAAAAATGTACTTCCGGGAAATAATTGTTAAGCAAACTACAATGTAGTAAAAAAAAAAAGTTTAATTCCGTTAATTTTTTTTAACCCACCTACTGCCCAGAGAGCTTCGAATTTGAGAAAAATCGCTCACAATATTTTGATGCTATTCTGTGGGTGATTTACCACCAACTGACTGTAAAACATATCTGGTACCTCTATATATGCAATTAGATAAACATCTAAAGTCCATCCTTTTTTACATATTCTGCACAAAAGATACTTTCTGCCACGCCCCATTCATAAAAAAATCCTGTCAGGGGCGGGGCTTAGAAAGTATTTTTTGTGCAGAATATGTAAAGAAGGAGGGGCGTCGGATGTTAACTCAAATTCAAATACCGTGCATCTTAGAGAAAAAAAGCTCTATCTACTGTTTCCAATTAGGTTATTTAAGGGTATTAAGGTAAAGGCATATAAATCTACATTAAACATGGAACCGAAATCCGAAATTTGATCAAAATTGTAGCACTGGAACTATTTTAAATAAGTGTGATTACATTAGCAAATATCACCATCTTAGCGCCCCTCAGTGGGACTTTGTATGGGAGCGAGCTGTCAATTTGTTAGTTTAGTGTCAAACAGTGGAGTTAATATTTTGCTTTAAACTTTGATTAAAAAATCGAGATGAAAGTCTACGGTTTCGAAAAATATAAAGTTGTGCTCAAAAAACGAAGCTCTTTCAGATGATGTGTACAAATCAACACACTTTTTTTTTAAATTAAAGAACCCAGTTAGCGCAATTACTCAGGAATTCTTGTGTGATTACGAACCCGCGTTTCAATAAAATCCTGGAACATTGTTCATTTTTTAGTATTATTAGGTCCAACCAAAATCCATTACCCTATACCGGGGCAAGTAGAAACGCGTGGGGAAGTTGAAACGGTAGATGTAGCTCTTAGCGTAAGTGAATAATCAATGAGATTATTTCTAATATTGTTTGCGGTAGTACACAATGCCTCTCAAAAATAATTACAGTGAATATTCACTTCCACTAAGAGATACACGTACTGTTTCAACTTACACCGGTGTACCTTAACTATGATGTTTACTATCAAAACATTAAACAGGTGGAGAACCTGTATACGAGCTTTTGCTCTGACTTTGAAATTCAATAGCTGAATCCCCTTATTTTCAATTAATGTTGTACTAAGCACCTAGTTATTGGAAACCAAACGTTTAATTTGAGAAATATCACAGTATTCTATTTTGCAATCATTCTACGAACACACTGTGCAGTACATAATGATGATGTACGGTAATTTTATGTTAGGGTTTTCCTCCAAATTTTTAGAACAAAGAGGTGCTATCTCCGTATGATCTTTATACTCCTTCCTCCCCTACTTCGTTGACATGTGAACCAACATTTTGTTCAATATTTAAAGTACCGTCTTCTGCCTGTTGCGTTATCATAAAATGCAATCTTCATTTTCTTCTCTGCTTCAGGAACCTAATTTAAAACCAATGATTGTGCTACTGAAAAAATGGGGCTTAGTAGTGGGCCATCATCATCAACTAATACATGTAAGGGATGGTGCTTTTTGTGCTGATCAATTTTTTAAAGTCTAAATTATGAAAAAGAAAATAAAAAAAAAATATTTTGATATATTCAGCCAAGGTGTCCACCCCTGGCTATTTACCTAAATTAATGTTACAGATTCTGATTTGATTTTAGGAAGACAAAATTAACTGCGTGTAGGAATGCTGGAAAAGCAAACCATTAGTTGGGTTACATTGCGCCTTTTGATGTTAACAAACATAACGAGATGTACTAACCAAAGAGCTAAAAATCTCGCTAATAAAGTCTTTAAAAAATGTTAACTCACATAAAAATAAATAAATTAAGTAGATATCCCTGTTTTCCCGTAACCCATTTTGCCCCGCCTTACTCTATATATTTTCTTCAATACCATCCTCAACTTCTTCAAGCCTATATGTATTTGATATTCATATTTATTTTTACAGGTAATGCTAATTTCAACCGCAGCTATGCATTTCGGTAGCTATTATTTCATGGCAATGATGAGCAAACCTCAATACTCCGATACGGGAAGCCTTTTAGATTCTGGAAATGATTTGAACATAGAAGGAGGTATAGCAGAGTAAGTACATTTTACATACAATGAGTTTTATTGATGTTTGGTGAAAGTATATTGTTTGCATTTTTATGTTTACTGTATGCTTGATAAAGACACAGATAAGCAGAAATAAAACTCGCATGCCGTTCATAGAACACGCATTTAACGGTAAATTCAATTTTTTATTAGTTGGTAGTAATAGTTAATTTTCTTGCGTTTGACGTTTACACACTGGCGCCATCTGTTAAGCACATTGCCCATGACAGTGTAAACAAACGGATGGTGGTAGTGTTTTAGCGACGATGTTTAACTGTCAAAAATATTCAATGTGTTATGTCTGTTTGTTTTTTATGGTTTAAAGATAAAGTTTAGCTTTAAAACCTATTGTTATTTTTTACCGAACATGTTTTGCATTTAGAGATTATTTTAGCATTAGACAGGTTTGAGCCAACGGGTCTCAGTAATACGGATAATGTCCCTAATTGTCGACCTAAGTGTTCATACTATTGGGTCCATACATACATTATGAAGGACAGCATTTTTAGACATTGCTTCACTTGGCAATGGGGATGCGAATTTTACAGCTTCGACCACCTGTAGTATCCTGCTTTACATTATCGATCAGTTCGTGCCAAAAAAAACTCAGTCGTAAGCCTGCCAAACCCACTTGGTCGAACTCCGTACTCAAACGTTTGAAACGGCTAAAAAATGGCCGCTCTGAGTAAACATCACACGGATTTTACGAAAGCAAATTACGAACGTGCTAACAAAGACTACAAACGGTTCAATATAAGCTTATACAATACCCATCAGTCTCAATTGCAAAGTCGACTCAAAGCGAATCCTAAGGATTTCTGGCGCTTTGTGAACGAGCATTGGAAAGAAACGGAATTGCCTTCTAGTATAACCGACGGCGTTACGGATGCCAACTCTGTTGTCGATATCGCCAACTTGTTTCGTACGCAATTCAGCAGCGTTTTTTCAGACGAAATTCTTAATGCACAGGATACCCGAGCAAAGTCTGAGATCAAATTGAAATCTAAATTTGATGTTGTGATTTCGCTGATAATGATTGCTCAGGTTGCTGTTGTTTTGGTCGTTTTAACGGTTAAAATATCAAAATTGAGAGCAAAAAAATCTTCCTGTGACATCACATTGAAAACTATTTCTGCTATCAGTGAGAGCAAACTGAAAACTCAATTTGATATCAATTTTTCCTGTTGATAACAAAACAAGTAATCAATTTGATTTTATGCTACGGCAATGAAAACAAACCCGCAACAAAATATTTTTGAAGAGCAAATGTACAGCAAAATGAAAACGAAATTTATCAATTGCATAAACTGAAATCAAATTAGGATTTCAGTTTGATGTTGATATCAAAACTTGATTTCAATTTGCTGTCATGTTGATGCTGGCCTTTGCTCGGGAAACCATTCGACTCGACCCATTGGTCTAGACGAAAAAGAATCATTTTCTCCAACAATTTCCGTATACAGGACAGCATCGCGATGGGACGGTACGAGTTATAATCCGACGCGGGTTTACCGGGTTTTCGAATGACGATAACTCTTACTTGCCTCCAGTCATCCGGAACAATGTTGTGCTCCAGAAATTGATTGAATAAGTTCAACAAGCGTCTCTTCGCGACGTCTGGGAGATTTTTAAGCAAGTTGAACTTGATTCTATCCATTCCTGGAGCTGAGTTGTTTCATGAAAGGAGAGCAAGTGAGAATTCCACCATCGAAAAGGGGAGTCTATTTCGTTATTACTCGACGGACGATCACGAACGTTGGTTTGAACCGACACCGAATCCGGGCAAACTTTCAGCGCGAAACTGAATATCGAATAATATCGGTGATGACGCGTTTTGCATTCTTCTGCCGACATTCCAGAGTGTTCTCATGGAAGCCTCTCGCGACAAACCATCGACGAACCGACGCCAGTAACCGCGTTTTTTGGTTTTAGTCAAGTTTTCTCGAGGTCGGTGTACCGCTCGGAATCCTCGACCTTACCGTGTTTGCGGAAGCGTTCAAACGCGGCGGACTTCTCGCTGTTCGTGTCGGTGCATTCCTTATCCCACCACGGGGTGGGAGGTCGCTTGCGAACGGAAACATCCGGAACACGTTTCGTCTGTGCTCGCAGCGCACAATCGATGATGACACGCGCGAGAAAGGAGTACTCGTCCAGCGGAGGAAGTACGTCAACCGATTGATTGGCATCAAGAACCGCGGTCGCGAATTTTCGCCAGTCAATGTTTTTCGTAAGATCGTACGCGATGTCAACCGAGCGAGTAGAAGATGAACCATTGGTAATAGAAATTTTGATTGGCAAATGGTAACTACCGTAGGGATCTTGAATTACTTTTCACGAGCAATCCAATGATAGTGAACTCGAGCAAAGTGAGAGGTCTAATCTGCTTATTTTTGCTTGAGGTTTGGCTACTCGTGTTACTTCCCCGGTGTTTAGAATTGTCATTTTGAAGAAGTCGCACATGTCGTATATCAAGGTTGAGCGGTTGTCGTCGTACAGTTCCCCCCAGCCTCTACCGTGAGAGTTAATATCTCCCAAGACCAACCGTGGCTCCGGCATAGCCGTGCAGATATCTGAAACAAATTGAACGAGAAATCGCAGTTCTCGGTGGAAGATATACCGAGGCAATACTGAGGCATTTACCTCGAATGTTAACCTGACATGCAACAACTTCAATGCCTGTCACCGAAGGCAGATCGATTCTGTAGAAGGAATGGAGCTTGTTGATCCCCATAAGCACCCCTCCGAATCTGCGCGGTCAAGGCGAATAATGTTGAAATCGTGGAAAGCAAGATCGTTGTCTGAAGAGAGCCATGTTTTACAAAGGGCAAATGCATCAGAAAGTGAGTTGTTAACTAAAAATTTAAATGTGTCAAGTTTTGGCATAAGACTTCTACAGTTCCACTGAAGAACAGAGATCATATCCCCGACCTCATTCGGAGAATTATCCATCAACAGGATATGATCGATGCAAGGAAGGACCACCTAGAAGCTAGTTGCTTCAAAAGAATTTTCACCATTGGCAGCACTAAATTAATAATGCTCCTCGTTGAGTCTTCTTCTTCTTCTTCTTCTTCTTCGCATTTCAAGCTTATTGCTTATCGCATTTTAGCTTATTGCGTGCTCTCAACTTAGTGTTCTAGATGCACTTCCACAGTTATTAATTGAGAGCTTTCGATGCCTGTACCATTTTTGCATTAGTATAATTGTGTGGCAAGTACAATCATACTCTATGCCCAGGGAAGTCGAGAAATTTTTCAACCCGAAAAATTCCTAGACCGGACCGGGAATCGAACCCAGCCACCTCCAGCATGGTCTTACTTTGTAGCTGCGCCTTTACTGACTGAGGCGTTGAGTCAGAGATATTGAATATACTGAAAAAGCTATCCACAATACCAGAAAACGTGAACATGGGGGCATGTTCTTGCTGATTATTCAGCTGCTTTTCTGGCCGATAAACTGGGACATCTGGGGTTTTAGATGATCCTGGAAGTGACGGAAAGTTCTTGTCATAATTACAAGGTTTAAAACCCGGTGGAATGGGTTTCGGTGCATTTCCGTTACCTCTTGATTTTTCCAAGGTGGAAGGGTGGTCCGAACGAGTGGCCTTACGAGGCTTTTCGGTTGTCTGTTTTTTTGCTCGTTTTCTCGTATTGCCTTTAAAGACACCGACCTCTCAGTCAGAGTCTAGATCATCAACTGGCAAAATGAAGAACGTGTTACTGTTTTTTTGGTGTGGTCTGAGAAGATGAAGCGGTATTCTTCAAGAGTTCTGCTATTGGAGCGAGCTTGCAGAGACCGCTTAATTTTGTCTCCCTGCTGTTTATACCTCGGGCAGTCAGTCAGGGTATGCAGGCTCTCCTTGCAGTACACGCATTTTGGAGGAGCACCGCAAGGGCCCTCTTGATGCTGCTCGCCACACTGTTCGCAGCGTGGTTTGTTCGAGCAGTAGTCCGATGTGTGACCAAGTTGTTTACATTTCGAGCAGTTCATCACCCGAGGTAAAAACAGACGTACAGGCAGCCGAACCTTGCCAATAGCGACGTAGTGAGGTAACGCTGAACCCGAAAAGGTCACACGAAACTAGTTTGACAAGGAATAAGGTTTTTTGGAGCCTACTACGGATACTGACTGCATTTGAAGGCAGTCCAATATCTTCACCTTCGGCAGAGCACGGTTTTTAAAGATTCCGAAGGAATCGGGACCCAAGAAATCATCACTAGTCAAGCTCGCTTCGGTGACCACTCCTTCAATTTCTACCTCACTACTGGGTATGTAGACTCGGTATTCCAATGAAAAAAGCTCGCACGCAACAATTTGGTTAGCCTGCTTCCGGTCATCAACGGTAACGCGCAGTTTTATTTGTGTTACCTTGAAAATATCGGTAACGACCGAAAAATGTGTTGTTAGATCCTTAGATATCCTCGGAATGTTCAAAGGTTTTTGTTTGGGCCGGAAAAAACAACCCATGGGCCTTTCGAGGCTTCTGGGTAAGCCTTTAGGCGGGAGAGCGCAGAGGTTTTCGGGGGCAATGGGATATGCTCCAGTATTCTTGCTGGAGAGCGAGTCAACTGGAACGTCAAGGGTTTCCATTTCCACGACTTCCTCGAGACTTTCGTGTGAGGTGGAATTAAGAGTTTCGTCGTCTGAGATGGAAAGCGACCATCCCCTCCCCCTTTATCATTTTCATCCATTGCGGTTAAATATCGCCGCAATGGTATTTTTGATAAATATTTTACAAATAATTACAGTAATTTCAAATAGTATCAAAAATAAAAAATTAAAAAAATGCTAAAAAAAATAAAAACAAAAATAAATTGTATAGTTTTACGAAAAAAAACAAGAAAAAAAATATATATATATTAAAAAAAATGGATCACCCTAACTGCTCTACTTAAAAATAGTACGAGAAAAAAATCAAGAAAAAAAATTATAGATATATTCTTTTTACAAAATTTTGGATCACCCTAATTATGACCCAACCTAATCTA